CAGAGATCCCTACACTCACTGCAAGACTGCTACGGAGCCCAACTACAGATGTGACGCACTCATGCTCTATCATACAGGAACCTTGTACCACTAGGTAGGGTAGAAAGCACTGTCCAAAAGGACAACTTTCAGCTCCAGGGAAACTTGGCAGAAGAGGAAATACTGTCATCCAAACCTCGTCAGTAGTAATTCCTCTCTTGTTTCTGTAGAGGCTAATATTCACTGACCATTTTATTTATACTTCATTCTTTAATTTGTTCACTGCTGGTTAATAATAGAATACAAGCACAGTGTAGGACGTTATCAAGAGACACTCAGCTGTCAAACAAAACAAAAAAAACACGAAACAAATCAAACTTTCACCAGCCTTAATATTACAAATACCAACAGGTTAAAGTTAAAAATACTAATGGAGTTCTCGGGTCCCTGAAACATCTTTGATGTATTGGAGAAGATGATAACTCTCAGAGACCTAAAGAATTTTCCTGGTAATAGTCTTCAAAAACTCTTGCCCTTTATGAAACAGTACAGATATAGACTCTGTATACATCAAAGTACATCAGCCCTAGCTTTTTCAAAACCACAGAGATGCAGGCCTCTTCCTTAAAGAGGCATTCCGATTTAGCATTACAGAGTTTATTTCCCAGCTCAAAGAAAAGCTTTGCAATGGGGAAATAATTTCTTTTTTGCCTATTTGTGTGTGTTAAGTGACCTGAATAGCACAGAAGCCACCTCAACAAGGCCACTGGACACACACTGGTCCTTTTGGTTCACTATTTATCATTGCTGTCTGATGATAACTACGTGTACTACCTTTACGTGAATGAATAGTTGCGTTACCAAAAATAACCTCAAGTTCCTTTACATTTGGAGATGCTGTACTTCAGGCACCCTCAAAAGAAACAAAGTTGGATCTACGGGGTCTATTTAAGAACTCTACAATGTCTGTAACGATATCAAAATAAAACCAGATGCAGAGTAAATATGCCAAAACTAGAGAAGCTTTTTGTTCAAGATAAATCTAAAGAATGTCAGCACTCCTATGCATTAGCAGCACTTTTCACTAAATGAATCTGAATTATTACATGGATGAAAAAGAACCAAATGACTTCCATATTTGAAGGATATCTGTTTTTTCATCAATTCATAAAATTTGTTACCTACAGAGAACAAAAATAAAAATGGAGAGGAGAGAGAAGTGCATTTCCCATCTTCTCCAACTCTATTTCTCATAACTGTTCCTCTAAATAAACACATCCAGCTGTGTAAATGATTCCCTATACCCTACTGAGACAATAAATGAATATAGTCTTTCACATTCACATCTGAAATTAGATGGCAAAATATTCACATCCTGGGAAAGACAAGACTGCCTCCCTATTGGTGTATGCAGTGAAAATTAAATTAAATATTTCTGCTTCTGTCCATACACTCTAAGTCCCTGTAACTGTTCATTGATCCACCACTACCCATAGTTGGAACATTATTGAGAAGCAAAGAACTTCACAACTACTGAGTTTGGTACAACATCTAAGATTACAATGACTATGCAAGCAGCTTGACAAACACCAACCTAACTATCATAAAATAGCTATAAAACCACATTTTTATGTGCACTGTAATGTTAGGCTTATTAGCTATTCATTTTCTCACTATGAAAATGTCACAATGCTCAACTGTTATGTCTGGATATTTAATCAGTTGGGCCATTGTGTAATAAAATGCAAGCAAAACATACTTTGTTAAGAGTTTTCATGGTTTGAGTAAATCCAGCTGCTCCATCAGCTCATTACAAGAGCATGCACAAGGAACTTGGAGATGTGGGCTCCCACCGCTTTCCCAACTTGTCATTTTAAGGTAATTAGCATTCTCAGTGCATGTATGTGCATGATGACTACCCTGCAAGAGGGTAGAAAAGCTGTCCACCTGATGCAGTGAAAATAATCAGAACAATTGATTGAATAAAGCTATATTGCAATTGATCTAAAGAAAACAGCATCAACTGTTACTCCTTATCAGCAAGGTCTCATATTTTCTGTTGCTTTGAAAAACACTAGAGGGGTAGTAAAAAAGCAGTCTCTGCTCCCTGCTAAACAAAATCAGCATTTTCAATACACTCAATTAGCAGTGTTTCAGGTCTGTGTCAGACTCATCATCATAGCTACTTGATTTCAGGCAAAGGCCAATCTCACCAAAATCATTATGCAGAGGTAGGTGGTGAAAAGGAAAACAGATCTCTGATCAAGCAAAGCATGAGGGGGAGGCATGTCATTTACAAGCTGCACTCTGTGTTCTCCTTCACAGGAAAACAGTGGTGTTCCAAAAACATTCTGAAGCAGCACTCTGTGATCAGATTTTATAGGGGTGCTCTGGAAGCCCCAAAATTGGCAGTTTTACACTACATAAAGCTGAGAAGGCACACACTCATCTCCATCTCAAGAGCAAACGTGGAAAATTCAATGGTGTTTCCTAGCTGACATCCCCCCGTTCTAGCTCTAATGCCAAGCATGAAGCAGAAGCATTGCTCTGAGGCAGACAGCTCTTCACAGGAAATAGCAGTAACAATTGGGGTAGTATTTCTAGAAAGCAAATATAATTATCACATCTAGCTAGCTGTATTACGGCTTGAACACAATTGTCTGGACATGCTGGCGGGATGTGTTGCACCGAGGTCAGCGCTAGTCAGAGGAAAGAGACATGCGCTCTTACTATTTTCTTAGCATGAAAAGTATATATTGCTAGAAAGTGGGAGGTAGCTTTCTTGGCCCAATGCTCGTCCTGGAATCTCAGGAGATAAAAGGCTGGAAACATCCCTTTTCTCCCACTCCTTTACACACAAAGGCTAGTTATTCTCCAGACCTGGTTTTATGCAATGTTGTGTATTTATATTAAATCTTTTTAATACTTTGAAAATAATGATCAACTACAGAAGTTTATTTCCCATCATCTTTCGGCTTCCATCCCAGTCCACAACGTCCTGCAAATGCCCAGTTGCAAGCAGTGGCATATAACCATTGCTGCAGATAATTCTGGAACAGAACTGATTAAGGCCTGTTTTCCTGGCCTCAGAAACAGCTGTGCAGTAGCTCACCTGTACCAGTTTCATCCAGTTAATTAGACACCTCTTTCTTTAAAAGCAACCAGGTGCTCCATCCACCATTGTCTGACAACACCTTTATAACAGCTACACCACAACTGCTTTGGAGCAATTCATGTCATGCAAATGAGGAAGCGTATCCACCTCGTAAGTACTGTTCCCCTAAATGTGATCAACTGAATAGTTGCTGCTTTTCCCTTTTCCCTTGTTATTCAACAGAAAATGTGAATATAGTATTAAAGAGGCAAACTCCTATTAGATTTGGTGTCTATTTCTACTTTTATTCATCACCTGCACACTACTTGCTTTTACAGCCCATTGCACACTTTTATCTTTTCTTCATCTGTCTGTATAAAGTTGGGAGCAGAATCTACTTTTTGAACTCTGCATTAAAAGGCTGTAATGCTTTAACTACACCTTTTCTCTCAGGCTATTTTCCTTCTGAACTCATTTTGCTCACACAGGATTTATTTCTAACACCTTAGCAGCAACAGAAAAACAAGGTTAAAAAAAAACAAAACACCAAAACACCCACACACAGCACTGTGATAAGAACATTGCTGCATGAATTTGCTTTCTCACTAAACCAAGGAAAATCGGTGAACCATTTCCGTATTTCTGCATCAAACTGGAAGTGAGCAACAACTGCTCCAGTTACATCTTGGTACAACATTGTCGACTGCTGTTCTTTATCTAGACATTCACGTGGCCCCAACCAGTGTGGCATATCAGCACTTTTGACAGCAGCTACTTGTCTCCCAACACCTTTTCCCTTTGCCTAGGACAGCTGTCTAGTGAGCAGAACATAATATTCATTAAATTAGGTATTCTCACTTCTTTTATAGACCTGTAAAAACAACAGGCTTCCCTGAACGCCCATTTCTTTACCTGAAAGAGAAAGCTAACTAGCTACCTATTTTGCAGATAGATTAGTTAACACAGGTGCAGCACTTTGAAAAGCACGCCTTAGCGTATGCACCAAAAAAATAATGATAGAACAACGCCTTGAACCTAACTCCTTCTGATCCTGCTTAGTAACCAAGCTCGTCACAGCATAACCTGCAACTGCTAACTGCAGGTTATCAGCAGTTTCATTAGAAGACATAGGTTTAAGGTACTTTTTAATTTATTCTTATTTCAATATAGAAATTGCTAAGGCATAATCAACCCTGCCAAATTGCAACCTTCTCCCCCAAATCAGAGATGCCTGCAGTGGCCTTTTTAATTCAAAATAACAGAGGCAAACGATCCCCAGTCCAGCCTGGTGCTAATCCAGCTATCACAGCCTTCGCTTCAAGATACACCTAAATTTAGGGTTGCTAGTAATCCCCTGCCCGGCAAAGGGCAAGAAGTCAGAGTGCTGTTATAGGGTAAGTTACCAAGGTATGTTCCTGTTCACACATAACAGATATCAAGCAGGTATCAATAACCCCACGTTCGCCCTGTGAAGGCACCTCAAAGCTCAATAAAGACACACTTACGAGTTTTAATGTATATATGTTTGCCAGTGGCATGAGCGAGGCACGGAGTCTTCCCCCCCCCCCCCCCCCGCGCCCCCCCCCGCCGGTGCTGCCCCCGACGACCGTCAGGAGTAGAAGTCCAGTAACAGAATAATTTCTTAAAATACAAACACCTCAGGAGGTGGGAGTCTTACGAATGGCTTCTACAAAGCACTGGAGAGCACGTGGTGAAGAACAATCCTCTCCTGGGAGCCAGCAAACAGTATTTTTGCTCTTCAAACTCCAAAGCATTAGGTTCCTTTAGCTGGTGCCATTTTTAATAAACTCAACAAAGGCAGCACACGTTTATAACATCGCTCTGCCACGCGACAGTTGTAACGCACACAGGACATGGAAATTCAGAGTACAAATCTGTTTGTGCAATACACTTTTATTTTTTATTTATTTATTTATTTATTTACCTTTGCAGTCATCTTGGAATAATCATCATGTAAACAATAGAATGGAATGAAATTACATTGAGTTGTATGCAAATGGCTCTAGAACACCTCAACAATTAGGACAAGGCATTATAAATAACTTCTCTTAATAATATATATTTGCCATTTTCAGTACATTAAAGAGCTGCCATTTATCTAGGATTAGCTAGGAAGTAGTTTAAATTGTAACGTCCAAGGAGTATGTCTTCAAATTTGAAAATCTTTCTGAAGTTTGCTAGCTCCGTAACACCTATGTGACAGGTTAAGCATAAGACTACTTGGGTCAGAAGTGTTTTCTTTGTAACAGTTTTACTTGATCATTGCACAAAGCCCTATTACTTTCACTCCACCTTGGTATTTTGCAGAATTTCAAGTAAAGCTTCAGTTCTGTTCTTCAAGTTTTATCACCAGTATGAAATCAATTTCTATCACTTCAGGATAAGTCAAATTAGAGATGGGCACAGTAAGCAGTCTACCTTAAAGACAACATTTTATAGTAGTTCTAGCTCAAAGACTCCTCAACAAAGCAGAGTTTACCTCAAACTTCTCTAACATCTTTGCTCCTGTATATCCTCTCCTTATTCTGATAGCTATATATATAGTTCCATATATATGGTATTTCTAGAAAATGGAGATTATTCTAGATTGAAGCAGCCTCAGGCACATTCTTAAGAATACTAATGTCTTCAAGGCACCTCCCACACCCTTGACAATCAGTTTGTGGATTGGTTTTTAGACACACAACCAACAAGAGCTTGCTAACGCCTAATAAACTAATTGCAAAAAAAACTGTAAGTTACCAAATATATCAAAGATATACCTGAAACTTTTTTAAATAATGGGAGATTAACTGCAAATAGCACATAATCAAGTGAAATCATTTCCTTTTAACTAGGATGTGTAATGCATAAATATATGAAAAATAAAATTCACAGTTTTAAAACTAGGATTCAAGTCTGGCTAATAATTAACTTTCGTAATTATGTTAATTTCTAAATACAACAGAACAGAGGCAATATTATCAACCACAAGGATAGGTAAAATAGTATCACTCAAAATTTATGAAAGGAGAAGTAAGCTTGATAGAAAATTCCTTTTGTAACCAATAAATACAGCCACCTGAGTGCCTTTCCACAGGCTTTTCACTTAGGGGAAATCCAAATCAACTGCTAAGAGACATTTAGTAGCATTTTGAATGTTAGCAGCAGCGGTGTAGCTGTGGGTTTTGCTTGTTCTGACTTTGTGAATTGCTAGAGAATGAAGCAGAACTCAGTGTGTGGTGCTTTAATTTTCCTCTGCATCTAAGCTGGCCTCTTCGCAATCTCATGATTCAGGTCGGGGTCAAGGGACAGACATCAGCTGACACTTAACTGAGCAAACCCAATCAGTTTCACTTCATCAGGAATCTCAGTGCCATCACAGCCAGAGGCCTGTAAGTACAAACAGAAGCATTTAGTACATCACCTTAAAAAGGGGTATTTGACAGCCAGACTATAAATTTCCTCCATATCGCCTAGTTAGCAAACAGTTTAGTTGAAGGAAAACTTCTGGACTGCTTGGTGAATTTTCCGGCAGTGTCAGTCAACTGCATCCTTCATTTTAAAAAAAATCTTTTAAGCTTTGTTAAAAAACTATAAAAAGAAATACTGAGAAATAAAATACTTTTTGCAGCTATCCCAAAAGGTCACTTTTAAAGCCCCAAATTTCCCAGACTTGAGCCAAATTTGCTTTTTCATACGAGCATGCTGTTTGCACTTGTAAAGAGTGAGTAACCTAACAGGTACAGATTCTGGCTTTTACCATCGTGCAGACACGAAACGTCTGCAAAGACCCATAATTTCAACTCTCAAGTCTGTTGAGAATAGCAATCCACTGAATTTTTGAGATTGAAGCAGTCTGTAAAGGGTAAATAATATCTGCAAAAAGATACCTTCTTTTTGACAGTACCATCTAGTACTTTGGATTGTATAGCTGAAATTCTTTACTGAAGTCTGTTGCAGTACAAACTGGCACAATAGGTTCATTTGTCATAAATATTAGTAGGAATATAAAAACAGCTTGCTTAGGACTGAACCTTTGCTCTAGCTCTGTCTGCTTTAACAACTGCAGCCTCTGTAGGCAAAATATTTTAATAGTTGGTTTCTTAAATATAAGATTTGTTTCTGTAGCGCAGAGGTAACTGTATTTTTTAATACAGGCATTTTATGCATGCATTTTAGGCATTCTTCACCTCTGTGGTGCATTAATCAAAGTAGTTAGTTAGACGACTAGTGGGTAACAGAAAATTACTTATGAAGGGCACCTTCAGATGCTCTTTGGCATATCCCCCAATAAACTGTTACAACAATTGGCTCGCCCTATAGCATGCTCTTCATCCTTGCATGCATTTATTGCAGCTGAAACCCTGAGTGTAAGTTCACATGTGTATATGCAATATCAGGAAAATACCTCTCAGATCATGCACACAAAATGCACACAGTGACATTTTCTGTTGTTTGGGCATGAACAAAAATAAACTTTTGTGCTACTTGTAGAGGCATTACAGGAGGCTACTTCTGCTTCAAGTTTACTTTTATCACACACAGAGAACAAGTCCTCTGTTCAGAGCAGAGTATTTCACAGGTCTTATTTGGATGAAGCAGCAAGCTAAACAGCTGAAACCATCACCATTTGTTACTATCAAGATATTTCAATGGTTTTCGGATTAGGAATTTACTAAATAAATAGATTTTGAATTTTGCACTTAAAATACCATGATAAATAAAGCTGTTACTATTAATATCATTCTGCACTCTAGCTATCTATCACTCCCCCCTCAAAGCCATGCTAAGTAACATATCTAGATCAACTGCATCATACAAGACAAGTTTTTTGCATTTGCAATTCACTGTTTAGGGACTGAATGCATCCTTCCATGAATTTTTTTGAGCCTTAAGAAAAAAATTTTCTTAAAATGCAAATTATACTGTACAATATTTCTGTCTTTCCTCAACTATTACCAAGATTACTTGTGTATTAAAACAACCTCCTTCCCAAAATGTGGACACCTGGATACTGCAGGGAAGTCCTAATTCTGTGTTAGCCAAGACAACTCAAGGGGGTTTAATACTATGACTTCATCATAAGATCGAAGATGCACTGTTAAAAAATGTGCAAGAGGAAGACCAAACCTTACAGACAGATGCATTCAGACATGAGCAGAAGCGATCTGCAAGCAGTGAGAAACTGAACAGATTTACTGCCCAGAAATAATAGTAAATAATCCTAGATTAAAGAATGCTTTTCAATTGAATTCTCTGAATGGATACAAGATTAGCTACATGTAGACTTTGAATCCCCATGAATATTTACCAGTGAAATGTGTTTTAATCAAATTGCATACATGTGCACTCGAATTCAGTGAGAGATTGCTAAGAGGTAATGAAAACTCAGGAGGGCAAATAGAAGAGTAACAGGTTCTCCTAGGCAACAATTCATTTAGCAACTCTATTAGATAATATAGAAGCAGACAGAAATAGAATATACATTAAATTAATCCAAGGATAAGAATAAATTAGGATACTTCTCATGATTATCTATGTTCTTTTCCCAGAAAGTAGGGAACTAATGCAGGAAACCTACGTTAAAAGTATCAGGAAGAAACTTAGGTTAAAAATTAACCTCAGCAAACGTTACCTAACAAAACAGTTGGGGAGACAAGGAGAATATCCAAAATACTCAAAACAATGGATTCATTCCAATAGCCAATGGAACTTACTTCAGGAAGAGGTAATGACATAGATTTAGGATTACCTGTTAATTCTCATCATGATAAAATTTAATTTAAAAACAACAGTAACTACTTAGGGAGCTATTCCATATAGCTATTTCTAAACAACCAGGATACCTTCTTGTATAGCTAAACTCTAGGTTTGATGCACACATAAAATGACAGAGATGTGATATTGTGCTTCCTCCATCCAAACTAATGCACAGATTTTAACACTGTAGGCAGAAAGGCTTTACTGAATAGACTAGGATTCTAACACTGCCTACTCACTGGCATCTGAAATATCAAGTGCCATTGTCCACACCCTAACATTTAAGCAATAAACCCAAACACAGAAAAACCCAAACCCAAATTTTGAAGTGGGTTTTTACAAAGTAAACAAATATTAACTGGATGCTACGGGATACTAGCTTTGTAACTTCTACAGAGCCTCTGGAGTATGTACATATCTTAGTGCTCTTGGTGAAGTGTCACTAAAAGAAAAACATCAGCCTTTAAGCTGTATTTAGCCAGTAAGCGCCGCAGAAACAAAACAGATTGTGGAATTACATCTGCTTGTTCCCCCATCCCACCACCTTCCCAAAAGAAACATGTCAACTCTAGTGATTTTACTGGAGTGCAGAGGAAAAATGACTCCAATTGATTTAGCCAATTAAAAACATTCACAGCTATATTTAAAAAATGACACAGGAAGAGCAATCCGGAATTAATACGTGATCATCAGCTAGGTCACTTACTCTCTAAAAATGCCTCTCTGCAGCTCAACTGAAGCTGCTACTTTCATAAACCACACTGTGATTCCAGAGACCTGCTTGTCTAACAGACGTTCAGTCTAGCCTTTCATGTACAGCTAAGTCATTCTCAGCTAGGGTGCTGAAAGCTGATTGGTAACAGCATAGTATTTACATAACTAATCATTCAATAGCTGTAGGTTTGTAAATTTTTCAACTTAAATTTTAGCAAGAAATAAAAACAAATACAGCACGTCGATTCTGAACTAAGTCTTTGCAATGTTAATTCCATTAAGATATTGGGGAAAAAAAACATTCACAATGAGGGCAGTAAAATACTAGAACGGGTTGCCCAGAAAAATCTCCATCCTTCAATATTCAAAGCTCAGCTGGAAAAGGCCCTGAGAAACCTGATGCACCTTCAAAGCTGGCTCTGCTTTGAGCACGAGGCAGAGTTAGGCAACCTCCAAAAGCCCATATGAAACTAAATTACCCCATGATTCCTTTCAAGAGCTTCTGGATAATTTAAAAATGCAACCTACTACTACTTTGCAGCATAAATCTAATAGGCTAGCTTCCAGGATCTCGCTCAGAATAAACCAGTGGTGGTTTTGGTCCAGAAACTAAAATCAGTCATCTGAGTGCTAAAATTAATGAAGTCTTCTTTTCTACAGACTTCTGTCTTGCAACAGATGGACTTGGATGTCAGTCACAGTTCACAAATTCTGGTAACTTCTCATAGACGGTTAATACGCTCCCTGTTCCGTTTCTCTGACTAATATAAGTTCATGTGCAAACTTTCTCTGAGAATAGCTCTCTCTTCCCTCCCCCCAAAACCTAGAAGTTTCATTACATTTCACATACACTTAATTATTTTCAACAACTTTGATTGCTGGGTGATATCATGCAACAGATTAAAAAATATATTAGAGAAGCAGGGAGAGAATGGGAAACAGCATGATCATACAGATGCTTTTCGTCTCAGGGAATCAAAAGAGATACTGTTACAGACAGAAAGCTTTGTTCAAGCATTGCAAGCTCAAATCTTTAAGGAGAGTGATTTCTTGTGATGTTTTTCAGCTGATGTGGAGAAGGCAAGGCACAGTCTTCCAGTTTCTGCCAAACAGTTTGCACACCATAACTGAATTATTATAAGATTTAACAGGTTGTTCTTCAGTGCCTAACTTTAATAAGAGAACATTTCTGCTTCTGAAGCTGCTATTTATTGTATTGCCCATTACTTAGGAGCTTTCACTTACCAACTTAAAAGTCAATGTTTTCAAGGCCTTAGGATCATCTACTATCTTCTGTAAGTTAGCAGCAACTGTAAAACAAAGTATGAAAAAAGATGATTCACAGAAAATTGCATTCAACGTGGCTTCAAGCCTCAGATTCAGGTTGGATTATCTAATTAATTTCACACATATACCTAGCTGTAAAATACCACTTGACTCATTTAATTGCTCTCTAGTTGCAGTTTGAAACTCATAGGACATGAGGACTGCCATAACCCTGCCTCCTCCCTTTTGCTGGCATTGATAATTTATGAGTATGTGAACTGGTATAGGAAGATCTGCCTGAAAACCAAATGACAGGAAAAACTAAAACTGTTAGTTTTCAGCCTAGTCTATTCCCTAAACTAGCTTATTCTGTAACAATCACACAAATGCAAGCACAAGCAAAGGGGCAGAAACATGTCACTAAGGATAAGCAGAAGCATGGCTATCGTGCTTTATATTTCAGCTTTGCTATAACCAGGGCCACTGTCAGTATAAGTTTCTAGGAGAAGGCTGAGCTCACTGCCCCCTCTTCGTCTTCCATCTTTTCTGACTGCGTGTTTGTGCTTCGGCCTCTTTTTTGGGCTGGCAAGAGTACCAACAGAGACTCAGTGATCATTACAGATGATTCACTGAACCAGCAGAAAAATCAGCCAAAATAAAAAAGTGACATGACAGGAGCTAAAAGTTGATCTTCAAACTACTCTCTCAGTAAGCGTGACTGGATTTGTGATATAACTGTAATAAAAAGTTTAATTAAATCTACAGAGCCACAACGTCCAGAGAAGTAAGCTGTATGCTATCAACAGAAGTGACAGCAAGGGAATTATTTGTTCCTTAAAAATAGAGGAGGGAAGAAAATAGTAAGTCCCTTTTCTGTGAAAATACCTAACTCACATTTGTAATTGGTCTATTTTTTTACAACACTGCTACCATTAAATTTGACCAACAAATCTGGCTGCTTTCAGGCTTCATTGGTTTTCTAAACCTGCTCCACAGCTTTGCACAGCACAAGATCCAGACCTGATTAATTCAGATTGAATCATTGAGGGCCGCTGTTCAAAGCTGACTTACGAGCACAAGATGTCATCAACAGCATGATAGACTCCACACCTTGAGCTGTTGAGGCAAGAGTGGTTAAAAGAAATAAGCAGGTATTAAGTAGAAGAGATTTCTTAGTATACTGAATAGATAAGCACCATACAACAGAGAAACAAGAAGCCAGATGCTCTCCATAAATACTTTCCACAGGCTTCTTAAGGTGGAAGATACACAGCAGCAAGCTGATTAGCAGTTTGGAAGTCCTACTGTCAGATGTATAATTGAAGCAGGCACCAAACTTACTTCCTCCACTGGTTCTAACATCACTATGATATAATTTTCACTCTAGAATAGTGTGTCTGGTCCTGTATGACTCACTGCACATAGCATAATGGAATCTGGTCTCACATGGGGAAACATAGCTGTTTGCCTTGGCAGTTTGGCCATCTACCACTGTTAAACGCAAACCAAAATTTTCAGGGTCTCATTTTCTCTACACCATTGAAACGGCACTGAGAATTGTTTCTACACCTGTAACAAATTTGACTGAGGATGAAAGGGCATTTAAAACTAAAAACCAGACTTAAAAAAAAAAGAAAAAAAGCATGAGATAAATTTTGTAGAGAAAACTTCTTGGAAAGCAAGGAATTAGCCTTCACAGTTTAATGAATTCAACTACGGACATTACATTAAAAAGTCTTTCCCTTTTTAAAGCTTCATTATAAATAATCTCCTTTATTCTAGTCATTATAAGCAGTTTGTATTTTAATCACACAATTCATTTCCACAATCAACAAATCAATTTTGTTGCAATACCTCCTACCTGGCAAAATACATGCAAATACAGGTAATACTTTTCACTACAATAATACATAGAATCATATACATAGGCAAAAAATGAATGTTCAGCCTCATATCTCCTGAAGCCACCACACACTTGCTTCAAATTTGTACGTCTTACAAATGACGTGTCTTGATCATGTGCTTAAGAACGTTTCTGGCTTGTTCAACCCCTCCCTCCCCGCCACCAAAGCATTTCTTTAAAAAAATGAAAGAACAAATTCTCCAGCTAGTGTTAGTTGGCTTCACTGAAACAGAGGCACAGTGCTACAAAACTAGACAAACAGCTGGACCCTGAATCCAGCTGGATCCAATGGAAAGATTCCTAACTTTAACTATTTTCAAATACTCTAGAAAGATGAACTTCACCTGTAAGCTCTTCTTCAAGAGGGGCAGCCTTTCATTTAAGCCAGCTGTAGGACAGCTACAGCAAGTCAGCACCCTGCATGGAGGTTTCGCCTGAACGTAGGAACTTCCATCTGCCCCTAGGACAAAGCTACTGTTCTTGCACTTGCCTACACCAGATCGTCATCAGTAAGGGTTGTAATGAACTGTCACAGAGTGGAAGGCAGCGCTGAGCTCTTCACAAGTAGCACCATAATCTTAAAAACTCTAACCCCTTCTTGCTGATTCTTCACCAAGAACGTAAGAGATTCCAATTTTCCAAGCAAAAATAGCAAAAGATAAGCTAGCAGTTAATGTAAATAGTTAATTCTATTTACTTTTTTATGTAACGTTGTAAACAGAAAGGAATGATGTTTTAAGCAGATACAATTCGTAATGAAAACTGCTTTTCAAAGAACAGTGCTCATTAAAAGGCTATGGGGGCACAGTTTATTTGCTCACCTGTCTTTACTTTTAATATGAACACAAGCTAAAAACTTTTACATATAATTTTACTAGAGAAAGCAACACTGCAGAAATACCTGAAGCAACCATATGAAATAGGCTTTATTTTTCCTTCTCTGATGGGCTACAACTACAGAAGGATAAATTCAATCAAGAGGATTAGGATTTAAGGGAAGAATGCCAGATTTTTTGAGATACTACACCTGAAAATAAAAAAGAAGTCCTGCTAAGATTCCACACTATTAGAATACAAGCTTTCATTAAAATAGGCACATCTCCAGAAGGAATCACCCATAATTTCCTAGAGAGGTATCTTTTCAATTCCCATTATGCGCATTCAACATTGTTCAAGTAAAACTAGCGTTTCACACCAGTGACTTTTGGTACTTTGTGCGGTTTGAATTTTCCGCCCTTTGCAGAATGGCAATAAAAACGACCTGGCCAGAATAACGCCATTAATCTTCTTCAGTCAAGCCATGATGAATGCAGATCCCCCAGAAGGCACGCTTTTTTTGCAGTATCCAAAAATGTTAAGTAATTAACATCAACTAAGAAAGCATTGTGCACACAAATACCCAGCAAAACCATCAGTCCTGTTGGTATCTTGCTCCCTTTCCTAACTCCTTGCTTTTGTTTTGCTTATCTTTATTCAGACTGCAAGGCCAACAATTAGAGCCAACTGTCTAAAGTTGGACACCTAAATCTGTATTTAAGGAGACTACTTAAAATACGTTTGATTTTTTATGGGTAATGAGATCATCACTACCCTCTTTACCTTAGCAAGAACCAAAGGTTCTAGGTACAGAAAGTATGCAGGTGCAGAAAGGCATACCCAATGCTAGCTACCAGTTTGAAAAGTTTGATTTAACTGATAACTGCAGTCTTTTGGGGCCTGATATAAATAGCTAGGAAAAAAAGCAGTTACCAAAGAAGTGCAAGTGTCCACAATGTCTCTAGTTTAGTTATTTTCCTTCAGAAATAAAGCTTGCAGCTCAGGCAGCAGAAACCATCCAAGCAGGTGGAAATCCATCCTGACAGCCAGCGTGCAGTGACTTTCAATTATTTCTCCCATCTTAACTACAGTAAAGACATCCCCAGAATTACAAAATGCAAAGTAAAGTGGAACACTCAAACCTACTTTAAACGTAATTAAATTAAGCCATCTGCTGCGTTTGATATAACTTGACCTACCACTCTTACATATATATTTCTAAAAATGTTGGACCGTTAAGTATGCAAAGGCTCCTGAAGAACACCTAGAAGTTCATGTTAGAGACTTGCTCGGAACCTAGTAGATGATGTTCTTATATACGGGCTTCTGTGACACCTTTACCCACAGCTGCTGCTACTGTTCATCCCATTCAGAATTACTGATCGCATTAGGCAAGAAGAAGAAAAAAATTACTTGCAAGTGGTTCTTCTGTTAGACTCTCCTGATGAACATCTCCCCCACCTACTGAATTTAGGCCCTTTTCATTGAGAAAAATGATTTACTAGGTCGAGACTCTCTAACCCTCCTAGTATAGTTATACATAAAGTTTTAACTTTCTTCACAAATGAAAAATGAGCCTAAAGTTTCTAAACGCAAATGATCCAAACCATATATGCACACGCTGCCAAAAACCAAAGGGAGAAGGGAGTAAAATAACCAGCCCTCTCTCACGACCTTTCCCTTCCCCAGCTCCCCAACAATTTTTTTCTATTGCAAGTCAGGAAACAAAGTCAATTTAATGCAGTTAATGCTTTCCTTAACCAAGTGAAAAGGAATGTCACCTTAGGAGTTTCCAGAGAGAACAGTGGCACTGAAGAGGCAGGGATCATTCTCTTCACTGATACTTAAGCTACTTGGAAAAATGGGGAATGTTGTAAAAGATGCCTGTGGATTCTACTTAACCTGATGTGTAAGGTAGGTATACTACAGCTCCTATTCACAGAGCTGTTTTCCTTGTACTCTTAAGTCAGGCCTGGGCTAGGTTGTACCTTTGAAATTCATAGCAGATCAGTCTGTCTGCAAGCAACACTAATTGACAATTTGAAAATCCTGTTGATAATTCACTGTTTCCTCAGTGGAAGATACTAGAGATACTACAGATACTACAATCTCAGTTGGAGATACTAGACTCAATTTTACTTTGCGAAGTGTGTACTCAAGATGCTATGGCCACGCTACTATAGAAGTCAGAGAAAAATCAAGAACAAGAGGTAACTGGAGGAAAAAAAAATCAAGTGGTGAGGAAAAACCTTTGCCAGCAACAACCTCAAGGAAATGAGTGTACTTCAAATCATGGCGGGGGGGCAGGGGAGAACTCTCTTCAAA